ATATAATACAGATCACCTTATGTTTTCGTTAGAATATTTGTCTTATTTCTAACCACTTTTTTGTTAGCACGATAACTTGAAAATGGCTCAATCAAATGCCTTGAAATTTGGCACACATAATATAGGCATGAGGAAAGAGCACAATAAGGTTTTCAACCTTGACCTTGATTGATAACGTCATCCAGGTTTTGTAGTGAAAAAGAATGCCTAAATATGACTAATATATGATTCATAAAAATGTGATTTTATGACTTTATTTGCATAAATTACCATAAATATGCAAATGAGTGAATTTTTCAAAAAAATGAAATCATCATATTATTCTATACACTTCACTTGACATGCGTGCAAATTTTCGCGGCAATAGGCCGCTTGGCGGCCGAGATCTTGGCTCGGTGTAAAAATGTCAGATGAAAAAATGTCAGAGGTAAAAATGTCAGAGGTAAAATGTCAGAGGTAAAAATGTCAGAGGTAAAAATGTCAGAGGAAAAAATGTCAGAGGTAAAAATGTCAGAGGTAAAAATGTCAGAGGAAAAAATGTCAGAGGTAAAAATGTCAGAGGAAAAAATGTCAGAGGTAAAAATGTCAGAGGAAAAATGTCAGAGGTAAAAATGTCAGAGGTAAAAATGTCAGAGGTATAAATGTTAGAGGTATACAATAAAAACAAAAGCATGTGACAAGCTTGTTATAATTACACCCGGGTTATATATTTAATTAGGCTTATCGAAAAAGAACAGCGAGGGATATTCTGCAGTCGTTATTTCACCGCTTCTTTATTTTCCACTTTCCCAGTTTAAATTTATTTACCTTTCGGCCCAAAATTGTGACTTTTTGCCCGATTATTGCCGAAGGAAGACGGGGGGGGGGGGGGGGGAGGGTATTCTTCTTCTGGGGCACGGTGACCCGGCTGCTCTCCCCTTTCTCTTATATATATGCTTTGCTTTATATATCCTTCCGAACAGTGGTCAATGCCTAGGCAGAGCAGGCAGACTAATGGGACATGGTTTCTACTCCGAGTTTCGCGCCTTGCAAGCAGTCATCAGGCAACTGATAGCATTCTTAAAAGTACATGATTATCCTACAACCTTGGTACAAATACCTCTAAAAGACTAAAGACTTAACTAATAAAAATACAATTGGAATTACTCATGAGTATTCTTATTGCATTGTATTCAGGTATTGTAGTCTTATTTTTCATTTCATTTCATTTATTTTCATATTTCTCATAAGCATACATTTATTTCAAATGAAGTACAAAATTGTTTTTATTTTGATAACAAATAATAATAACAAAGATAAGTGGTCAATATGAATTTGTGATTTAACTAAGAGAAATATGATGGGACCTACACGAAAGCAAGCTTGTAAGGCTGTAGGCCCCAGTAAAGTAATTGTGGTAATAAATGGAGGACAGATATACATGTATTGTATGGCTCTTATTTTGAGCGTATTTGTACCAAGGTTGTAGAGGAATCATGTACTTTGATGAATGCTATCAGTAATTTGTCTGATGATCGCTTGCAAGGCATGAAACTCGGAGTAGCAACCATGCATGTCCCATTATTCTGCCTAGTTCAATATTTATTTACCGGTATATTATGCTTTTGTATAAGCAAATGGTACTGGTACACTGAGCAAACTTCCGGGGGGAAAGATTTCTAAAATCGAGAAGTTTGGCCATGTTTTATAGGCTGAGTTGTCGCTCCATGGTGTAATCATTAAATAAAAAGAAAAGTCAGTACAGCCCACAAAATAGGATCAGATATCTATGAACCCCCCCCCCCCACTTCTCCTTCACTTTTGAAGATTGTTGGACATTTCAACTGCGTGGCAATGACTACTATTATATGTAATTTCCAATAAATGCATATTTCCGACAATTCCACTTTCTTGTGGGCTTGGTATTTTGATACTCTGAAAGTAGGGTCCATGCTGAAACAAAGCAGAAAGCCATGTTATCAGTGCTAACCGCACCATCACATTCCCAAAGTGCGCACGTTGCAATAAAATATTGTCGATTACTATTGCGGTATAAAATCAATAAGCAGCTTTGTTACTCCGATACAAAGCAGAAAGCCGCCCACGTTACATCAATTAAAGAGAAGGTTGAGTTCTGGGGAAAAGTGAACAATAATGTGAGCGTTTGTTATCATTCTTATTATGCAAGTATGGAAGAACATCAAAGAAAAAAGTTATTCCTTGAAAATCTATTTCAAATGACTTCATATCCCAGATATGACAAGTAACAGCTTTAAAATGAGGCCCGATTTGTATGCCATATGTTTGTGTAGTCCCATATCAATATCTTTCTGTGTACAGTGCTTGTTACTTTACCAAGACTGAGCCAAAGATTTTATCATTTTGATGACTCCAAAACCTTGCACTACACACCAATACTTACATGTTTATGCTAGATGATCAACCTTTTCTGATTGCTTCCACACCGTTTCTTTCACAATGCAACTTCGCAAGACCAGAACTCAACTTTATCTTTAAATGCCAACCGCACCATCACATTTTAGAGAAGTGCGCGCTTTGCAGAGGTTCGGTTTAAATGACATCGTTATTTATAATTGTCGGAGAGTTTAAAATGGGGATGAGCTTCTGAATCGAGACAGTCTTTTACTTTTTGGAGCGGGTTTTTAGTTTTCGGAGCGACTTTTTACTTTTCGGAGCGACTTCTTGATTTTCTTATTTTTACTCCACTTCCTTTGCCGCCATTAGGTGCTAAAGCTTTAGCAGAGTTCGGGGCGCCCAGCCCTTATATGTAACTTTTCGTGATTCCTCGGGATTATGTAACTATTTTGTACTAAATGCACTACTCACTTTAACACTTGACTTTTGTCGAGAATTTTCATTTCTTCGTTTGGACTTTGTTCGTCTCTGGAACGTTACATGGGCTATGTCGCAGGCTGCCACCGGCCAAACCGGTCCGTTTCACAAACATTAACACATCAACCAAATCAAAATATCAAAAAATGTTAGACATTCATTATATGCAAGCCTGATCACAACAAAATAAATTTCAAAATCTATTTTCCACATTGTATTATCCTCAGGACATGTACGAAACACTTTGCTAATTTTTTTGCTTGTACCTCTGACATTTTTACGACTGACATTTTTTCCTCTGACATTTTTACGACTGACATTTTTACCTCTGACATTTTTACCTCTGACATTTTTACCTCTGACATTTTTACCTCTGACATTTTTTTCCTCTGACAATTTTACCTCTGACATTTTTACCTCTGACATTTCTACCTCTGACATTTTTTCCTCTGACATTTTTTCCTCTGACATTTTTACCTCTGACATTTTTACCTGGCACCGAGATCTTAAGGGGGGGGGGCATAATGGCCCCCCCCCCCCCCCGGCCGTACTAAGACCTCAAATAGCCCGGCCTTTTTAGGGTTAAACAAAAAACAACTAACAGCCAATGCAAATCTTCCTTGGTCAACTATTTTGCACTATTAGATGAACCTACAAAAGTGAAGAAATGGTTCGAAACAAGCAACTACTTTTCCAAATATGTAATTATATGCCGTTTTTTCACAATTTTCTGTTGAGACTTAGCTGATTTCTCAGGCGTAAGGAAGTGCTTTTTCAGCCATGATGTTTAGTCCAGAATCATCTATAACCTTCAATTAAAGATAAACTCCAGTACTGGTAAAAAAAAAAAATTAATTCTCACAGAATCAAACGAAACTTACACTGAATGTTCAAGATTACAAATAAATGACATGTGCCAAACAATTTTGAAAGAAAATGTATACTGGCTGAGTAATGAGCATAGAAAGACAAGGAAATCAAGGTAGTACCAGCCCCGACACCATGTGTGTTGTCCCATATATAGCTTTCTATGTGAGTGCTTGTTACTTTACCAAGACTCGGACAAATTTATTATGATTTTGATGACTCCAGAACCTTGCAGTGCACACCGATACTTACATGCTACATGATCAACTGTTTCTGATACTTTTCTTTCACAATGCAATCGCATTACCAGTACTAAAGTTTATCTTGAAGTGATTACATCAAACTGCGGACTATAACATCGTAGAACCTGGCCACAAATGCGGAGCTCAAAACAAGAGCAACATGCTGCTATGTCTACTATGGAACGCCCCCGGGTAGAGCAGATTGTGGTAAAAGGGAAGAACATGGAGACAAAACACTCTGTCTAGCGATCTTCTATAGATCCGTCTGGTATAATTGGACCAATGCGGGTCGACGGCAGGTTAACCGTAAACTGTGTTTAAAGTGACTCGGTAACATTGTTGAAGGTTAAATGAACAAATTGCCTTATTTTTGTCCGGATTCGTGTATAAAATATTACTTATTATCTTCCTTCTACTGTACTACCCCTCTAACATGCAAGCAATCATGAACAAATTCTCAAACCAAGAAGATAACTATGGTTTTCTTTGAAGGCGTCACTGTGCAACACCCTCTATCAGTGAATAACACTAATTCTCCCAACCATTTTTGAATTTTCCCAACCGTTTTTCCATGAAAAAAAGACATGAGACAGGCTATTAGAAATCTGTCAACACTTAAATGTCTAGAATGGTGTGTAGAGCCAATCTACTGCTTTTTGACAATTTACATTTACATTTACACCTAAAATGTCATTAAATTGTAATGATATGGTTGGGAGAACTACGGAATCGATCAGTTCATTTTTTCCCAATTTGTATCATTAATAATGGTCCGTTTCACCCAGTTTTTCAGATTATCTTTGATTGTACATCTAGCATTGCAGTCACTACCTTAGCACCATTTTTTCTCGTCTGAACAATGTTACCAAGTCGCTTTAAAATCAAGTGCGGTTATTTTTTTTAATACACAATTACAACGAATCGCCTGCGCATTAAAAGCAATATGAATCTTAGTTATTTGAATATGATAAAGATACACATAAAGACAGTACAAATAACGTTTGCCCTACCCTATCGTATGCTTAAATGTACATTGTATATGTTTCCTTGATTTTACAGGAAGCTTTGAAGCAGCTCTGTTAAAACAACTTCAACTTTACTTCCCGTCAATTCACCACATCGTAGTTGAACCTTCGGAGACTTATGTCTCTCATTACAAGCTTCATTCCATCTTAGACGATGTCCAGTATGATTGGCAGCTCAAGACGATGCAGCAATTCAAGCATGACCGTGATGTTTCTTGTAATGGGCGAAAATTCGACTTCATCAGTGCAGTAAACTCTCTCTACTACGCAGACGATTTAAACGAGACGCTCCGCTATCTCGTTGATCAGCTGACTCCGAAGGGCTGCCTTATGATATTTATACGTTCTGGTAAGAATTTCGTTTAAAGATGCCCCAATCTTTCTTAGTTAGGGGCACACTGCAATAAATCAAATTAGATATGGAAAACCAGAGTCAAAAAGATTAATTTGAAATGAATATACAGTGCAAATGATTTACAGGTTGGCAACTTCTCTTTAAAAAAAAAAACGCTTGTCGTAAGAGATCCAAAAAGTACCTATCAGTACTTTGTACATCTGACAATAGATTTTATATTTGTTTGTCCCATTTAATTTGTGAAATATTTATATAGTGTAAAATAAAAATAAATAAAAAACTAGACTCAAATTTTTACTTATAATGAAACAGTGCATTTCCTTAATACCGATGCAAAACAGAAATATATTAAAAATAAAACAGTTCCCCCCAAAATGGCAAGTTGTTATTACGGTCATATTATGTAGCACTCAGACATGTAAACCATTATTTCGATCCAGGGACTTCGTTTCCCGTTAGTATTTTGTTTTCTTATTCCATGTCATAACATCTAGTTTGGTTTGATAGCCGAACATAATGGCGATTCATTGCTAGCCCCGGGCTTGTTACTCTATTGGCAATTATAGTGGCTTAAATAATATTTTTAAAAATCCCTAAATGACTTTTTTTTTTCTTCATCTAGTTATTGAAGATGGGGGTAAATAAACGACGACATAACTCAAGCTCCACACAATTTGACTTCATACCATTTCTGCTTATCTTAATTATGCTTCTTCTTACAACAGAAAAGGGAGCCGGTTATCGGATTATTGTTAATTTCCCCGAGCTGCACCCTGCGTTCGAGGGAAGTTATTTAATATCTTCGCAAACGATTGTCGATATGCTGACTGGAATGGGACTAAAACACAAAGTGTATCATCTGCCGACTAGTGTGGATTTTTCTTCCGCAATGAACGAAAGTGATGCTGAGGGCAACGCCTTGCTGGATTTGTATACAGGAATAGTAGATTTTCGACAGACAGCACCGCCTTCACTCGTAGAGAGCGTTCTGGAATTTCTGAATAAAGAAGAGCGTCCGGACGAAGAAGATTTAAACATGCATGTTCAAAGTCATCTTGTTTTAATGGAATGGGATATTATTTTCATTGAAAAACAATAAACAGATGTAGTATGTAGGTGCAATGTTCCATGATATGATCTAACAGTTTTCGACCAAAAGCTCCCAGTCATCAAGGGGATAGTTGAGTTCTTGTTTAAGACTGCAAATGAATATATAGTGCATGGTTATTGCTCCTATTCTCATTTATGACATTTCTAGTGCCCTTTTAGAACCTAAAATTGCCATGAAGGTCATCTTAGACCCCAACATACAACAATACATGGGCCGGGTGGTCTTGCGTATTATAACCAACACGAAAAAGCCAACAAAGAGCCAATATAGGCATTGGCTGGAAAAAAACGCACAAGGCGCTATTTTGTTTGTGTTCCCGAAAGAAATTTCAACAAGTCAAACAAAATCTTGGAACCAGTGGAATTTGATCCTGCCATCTACTGCTTTGCGGGCAGTGACTCTACCACTAGGCCATCACTGATCCATATGGCACAGTCACGATGAGCTAGAAACAAACACCTAAACTCTCCTGAATCATTAAGACGTATTAATATTCATTAGTTCGCCATTAGGTCAATATTTCTTTAACATAGATGTAACGCTTCCTGGGAGAAATTTCAATTGTTTAAAAATATTTGTGGCTCATCCCCAGTAAATCGGATCGATTGATCGATCTGTATTTGAAAAAAAGTCAGAAACAATCTTGGAATCATCGGGTTTTAAGGCCCGGTCACACAGAGGGGACGCACTGCCAGCGCATTGGAAATTTGCAATTTGGGCCAGTGCGTTGTCGTTCGCTAGGCGTGCGTCATCATTCGTTACTCGTTCGTCGAGCTCGCTGTAGCTTCGATAAAAGTTGGGCGCACGACAACGCACTGGCCAAAATTGCAAATTTCCCATGCGCTGGCCGTGCGTTCCCCGTGCGTCCTTTCTGTGTGACCGGGCCTTTAAACCTGCCATTTAATGAGCAAGATATTTGGCAGTATGAGTTCTCTTTGATGGAACTATATGAATATTGTGTTTTCTTTTGTTTTCTTTGAGTGTATAGTGGATTAAGATTTTAACAACATTTCAAACTTTGTTAAAATAAACAGCTTGATATTTCTCTATATGAAGTTATCAAAGCATGAAAAACACTTTATGACCAAGTGTTAAATAAAACAATGTGAGGTGTTTTTAAATGACATATGGAAGAATATATTAGGTTTTGTTTTTCTTTTCTCAATGCTTTTCTTATAAGTTAATGTTTATACGAGGCCCAATACGATCAGTTACGGGTTAGATTAAATAGTTGTTGGATACATAATTGAGGTTGAACATTGATTTTCATTATATATTTTTCCAAAAGTGCTAACATGTGCATGTATTTTATACCTAGATTTTTGGCACGGAAATTTACTCATCCTCTTTTAGGATTTGCAATATAACAACCTTAAAAGTAGCACTATGTAGCACTGTAGCACATGGTAGTTCAACGTTTGTTAGGCAAACAGTTAAGGTTGTGATGAACTGAGCCAAAAATTCATATTATTAGGCTTATTTTCTGTAGAAGGTGAACAATTATGCACACTTTTGAAACCATATTGTACACATATTGAAAGTGTCACTAGGCACTATGTTATCAAGTAGTCCTATGAATTGAAAATTGGTCAAGTCATCCATGTACACTAACAATAAATTGTGAGTCTAAATAAATGTGGTGTGATGTTGTTATTGCTGTTTTAGTTAGTATACTTTGGTAATTTTGTACTTGCATATTGATGACAATGTAAATAATTACTTCAGAGCTTTGAGCACAAATATAAAAAGTGGCACTGTGAAGCCACTCTAACGAAGTAGTAATGTAACATGTATTAGGCAAGGGATATCAATATGATTAAATAGGGTTAATTTATTGTTACTTTCTCCCCAAAAACGTAAATTTAAAGAAATTGTAGACTCTTTCCTACGTGTAAGGTATACTGTTGTCACTATTTTTAAATCATCGATATATTAAAGGTAGCACTAAGTAGGCACTCTTTAACAGCGCATTAACCACAAAATTCGTCAGGTCATTCATAGGTAGGTAGAGCGACCCCGAAATAAGAGTAAATTACACATGTTTAATTTGTATTTGTTATGAAAGATCTCATTGAATGCTTTACTTTGCGACTAAAATTTACAAAATTTGGTAAGCGATTTTTGAAAGAAAAAAAAAATATCGAGAATTCACCGGACAAATCTGCGATAAAATGGAAAAAATAAGGTAAAAATATGATCTTTTTCCGTTTTTTACAAGGCTTTAAGAAAAGAAAATGAGTATTGAAAAGCCAAAATGTTTGCATTTTCAGAAAGAAGGTTAAGTTGTTTTAACCCTAAAAAGGCCGGGCTATTTGAGGTCTAAGTACGGCGGGGGGGGGGGGGGGGGGCGTTATGGCCACCCATGAGATCTCGGCCGTGAGGCGGCGGATCTCCGCGAAAATTTGCACGCATGTCAAGTGAAGTGTATAGAATACTATGATAATTTCAATGTTTTGAAAAATGTACTCATTTGCAAATTTATGGTAATTTATGCAAATAAGGTCATACAAATCACATTTTTACCCATAAATCATATATTATTCATGTTTAAGCATTATTTTTCACTACATATATTTATTAGACCATTCGAAATAATAAAACGACAACAAAATTTGGAAGAGCCAGCTTATTTCTTATGTTATCTCTTGTTTTGATAATTTCATTTGTAGGTCATTGTTTTTTTGTTTTTTTACTTATGTATTTCATTGTTTTTGTTGTTTTATTTCATTTCTAATAACTACAATTCAACTATTTTGACTCCCAAAACAACCACCTAAACTTTAAACAAGACCCACTATCCCAGGTTTGATATTTTTTTTAAAGGAAAAATGACTTTTCCCTATGTTTTGTACACAAATCACGAAAATGAGCGATTTTCGGGCTGACATGCAAAGACAAAAGATCACGTAATCTTGTAACCGTAGGTCCGATTAAAAAAAAAATCATTTAAAAGTTGCGCAAGACTGGAAAGAAAAACGTCAGCGAGCGGCAGGGCGACATCCATATGCGTTCCCGAACAATCAGAACAATTGTGGAAGGGGGGAGGGGGCCATGATGCCCCCCCCCGGCCTTATTAGGGTTAAAGGTAAAGACCAGTATTGGAAACGCCCCAATTACAAAAAAATGGAATGGAAGCTCCTGTTACCAATCACGTGAAAGATTATGTTTTGACTAATAAATGATCATACAAAATTTGCCGGGAAACCGCCTACTAATTGATATATTTGGTAAATTAGTTTATCAATTGGTCTGTGAGAGATAAACGCACGCGTCGCGCACGTGTGCGTATAGTCCCATATACACCTTTCTGTGTACAGTGCTTGTAACTTTACGAAGACTGGGCCAAATTTCTTATTATTTTGATGATTCCAGAACCTTGCAGTACACACCAATACTTATATGCTAGATGATCAACCTTTTCTGATCCATTCCACAACGTTTCTTTCACACTGTAATCGCATCACTATTACTGGTCTTTAAAGTAAAGTCAGTATCAACGACCAGCCTTGTTGTATTTAAACACGCACAGTTGTCAAAAATGCCGGTTTGTTATACTTTACACAATTTTACTAAATTTCCTCAAACATTATAACACATTATAAAATTGTTTGCGGAAGAAGGACTGTCATTGCAAGCAGATTGCTTGATAATACGACAGCCCCAGACAGAAACTCATGAAATATATTGACACAATTATTAAGCAGAAACGGATAGGTAATTGAAAATACAAATTTCGATGATGGTGATGCAGATGAGGATGATGATGATGGTGCAGATGAGAATGATGATGATGATGATGATGACGATGGTGATAATGATTCGACTGAAAGAAGATTGTTGATTTGTTTTGGTGTAGATTTGATCCATTTCCCAAACGAAACGATACTGCAATGCTAATAACACTTCACGTACATGAGAAAGATCACAGCTTACCTGTGTTGTAAGGTCATCGATCTCCATTAAATGGGAAAGTCCATTTTTGATACCTTTAATATTTACAGCAAGACTTCCTCCCTTAACCCTAATAGGGCCGGGCTATTTGAAGTCTTAGTAGGGCCGGGGGGGGGGGGGCCATTATGGCCCCCCCTTAAGATCTCGGCCGCGAAGCGGCCGATCGCCGCGAAAATTTGCATGCATGTCAAGTAAAGTGTAAAGAATAATATGATAATTTCAATTTTTTGAAAAATTCACTCATTTGCATATTTATGGTAATTTATGCAAATAAAGTCATAAAAATCACATTTTTACCCATAAATCATATATTATTCATATTTAAGCATTCTTTTTCACTAGATATATTCATTAGACCATTCTGAATAATAATACGACAAAAAATTTGGAAGAGCCAGCTTATTTCTTATGTTATCCCTTGTTTTGATAATTTCTTATGTATTTCATTGTTTTTTTAACTTATGTATTTCATTGTTTTTGTTGTTTTATGTCATCTTTTACTACAATTCAACTATTTTGACTCCCAAAACAACCACCTAAACTTTAATCAAGACCCAATAACCCATGTTTGATCTGTTTTTAGGAAAAATGACTTTTCCATACGTTTTGTACACAAATCACGAAAATGAGCGATTTGCAGGCTGACATGCAAGGACAAAAGGTCACGTGACCTTGTAACCGTAGGTCCGATTTTCAAAAAAATTATTTTAAAAGTTGCGCAAGGCTTGAAAGAAAAAAGTCAGCGAGCGGCGGGGCGCCATCCACATGCGTTCCTGAGCAATCAGAAAAATTGTGGAGGGGGGCCATAATGGCCCCCCCCGGCCTTATTAGGGTTAACATCAAAACAATATATTAATCCTTTGTATGCATTAAGCGTGCTTCGTAAAGTCCGACATACAAATGAATAAAGCCAGCGTGAGGAAGGGAAACTATACAACAGAGCACACTTGACCACGTGGTACATTACCATGTTACCTAACACCACTGCCATCAGACACTCCTGTCCCTCATTCAACATATGTGTTTCTGTAAAATAAACTAAAACTTATACTAAATTAGATCCAAGTTGACATGGTTATCTGAATGCACTTAATAATAATTACCTTACAGTGATACACACATTTGAATTCAGCCGAGATAGAAAGATACCAAATATATTGCATTTCTCCTCTAAGGTCATTCCAACTATTACATATAGAGATATTGTAGTTTAATTTAACCTATTATCAGTATCATTATCATTTGAATATTGATCATTTGAATGATCCCCAAGCAATGATGAAATTTGCCCATTGAATCCCTAGAAAATTCAGGCAATCCAAAAGTTGACTAAATTCCATTTTTCCAGAATATTTCAGCACAATATAAATGCCTGGTAAAGACTAAAATCTTCACAAGCCGCTTTTCGTATACCCTAGGCTAAAATATTGTGTACTAATCATTAGATACCAGCAAATTCAAAATGAAAAGAATTACAAACAGGCCATGTGTGTTTATTCCTCTGCTAGTAATACTAGCTCTTCCATGGTCCATAGTACCCCGCCCCCGCCCCGCTCGTTTGTAAGGAGGAGTCTTAACAGAGATCTTGGGAGTATTTTACAAAGACTAAGATCGACTTTCAGTTGGGCTTAAATATGACAGGCCATTCGTGCCACTGGTTGCTCTCACCATTGGTCTCTCAATTATGATCTTTAGATACTGTTTCTTCCTTCAATAATGAACTGTCAAAAAAGCTCAATTATATAGATGTGTGACCATGAATTGTACGTTCCTTGAGAGACCGTTGCCAGTAAACGGCGATAGCAAACAGTGGCATGAACAGCCTGCCATAGTTAAGTCCAACTGAAAGTCGATCTTAGTCTTTGTGAAACACCCCCTGATATCACAGAGGGTACTAGCCCATGTGGTCTGCTAAAGAATGTGTGCACTGTGTGCTGATGAGTAAATAATGTCCAAACAGGGAGGTGAGAGTTTAAATGCCCTGGTCCAAATGATAAAGACAGGTGGTTCGTGTTTCCATACGCTGTAATGACGAGCCCAGGCTCTAGGAATGTGGGCTCTCGGAGATGACAGTAATTGGAAATGACATATATAATGTACGTGTTGAAAGCACATGAACTCTATGAGGATGTAGGCCATTTACGTTTTACTCTGTGATGACGGCTGAATATGTACACTGGTATCTGGAAGGAACAAACGCTAAATAGGGCATATTTGGACATTCTTACGATTAAAGATTATTTTGCAATCATAGCTAGGTTATTCAAGATTCAGGGCCAAATTGCGCTGTGGTGATTTCGGGAGCGGAGGGGAGACAGGGGCAGTCCCATTCTGATTTAGAAATGTTTTTCTTGAATGTAAGAGTTATTAGTGCTATTTAAACAAACAGAAACACAAAAAAAGAAGAAAGAAAATTCTGACGAAAACAATAGGTGACCTGTCTATGACAGACCACCTAAAAAGATCCACCATGCGATAATTATTACTGAATAATTATCATTACGCATTTAATGAAATGTAGGATAAAATTGAAATGAAATGATAAAACGTACAATTGCCAGATCAGGAAGACATGAGTGAGGGGGTGGAGTGATAAAACGACATTTAGAGTTTGAGTGGTGAAGAAAATTTCGCAAGATTACACCACACAAAAGGTGTTTCCAATTTAGCCGTTAATTAGGAGACTGAAACCATCGTGCAAAAAACGCTAGCCCCCAATCATGAAAATGTGCCCGTAAGTATGTGTACTTTCCTGAGGTTAGCCAAGGAGCTTGGTCTAATTCAACCCTTTTTGGTTTAGAATTTTCGTGCTTTTTTCCTGTACTATGGACTGTAAAATTGCTTACATTAATTTCTCTGTGTAATTTTCATTATTATTGTTGCTATGTTTTCTCTCTAGCATTTCCGGAAAAATAAAGGCCTATGATTATGAAAAGTTATCTCACGATTATTACATCGTTAGTTTTTTCTGTAGCTGAGGGGTCATAAGAAGTTATCTCATGATTAATATTAAATATTAATATATGTGGCGGTGGTGTTTTTTTTTTGTCCTGATTGCGAAGAAAGCATAAATGATTGTTAGTAAGCAACCAGACGCCGACGGCTTTAGGTCCTCTCCGAGGGACCTGGTAATGAGGATTAATGCCTTACCAAAGGGCACTATAGCGCATCACCTTGGTTTCGAATCCGGGTCACCGGATTACGAGACCACTGCTCTACCGACTAAGTTATCGCGCCAAATAAAGTAGACGATGTGGTTTCACAAGGAAACACATTCATTATTTCATCCAGCGTAAGTTAACCCGGAAGTTAACCTGTAGAAAAGCGCCATATCATTAGTGTTCTCGGAGCTGAGGTTTCATATGGAGTTGATAAAAACGTAGGCCTTTGAGTATAAGAAGTTCTCTCATGATTACCTCATTGTTGTTTTTCTGGAGCTGAGGGGTCATGAAGTTGATGACACGTAGAGTACGTCCTACTCTCCTTCCATACAAGAGTCGCGTCAGACAAGTTACAGTCCGATAGCGTAGACTATCAAGCAAGTGAACATCAATGGGAGCAGCCGGGTTGCGTATTTTTTTCCCGTACCGCTAACGCGTCGCAGAGGTTATTTCGACGACTTGAATAGAGGCAACATCCGACACACACACTGAATCGCGCCGCACTGATCAAATTCTAGGATTAAGTTTAGGTTTATTTAGTCTAGGTTTTTAAGGTTAAGGTTGGGGGTAGGGTTTATGAATAGGATTAAGTTTAGGGAGACATTAGCTGAAATTAGCAATAAAAAATAATTTAAACCCCTAAAACCAAGGATAACCATCGGCATTGTCGGCTGATGTGTTATGATCTGAAAACTTGACAAGATCAGTGCGGCGCGACTGTGTGTGTCGGTACGGATGTTGCCTCTATGTAAGTCGTCGAAATAACCTCTGCGACGCATTAGCGTAAGTTAACTTGAAGAAAAGCGCCATATTTCGAAAATACACTTTTAAGTACTTAAACAGTCAGATATTCGGGCAAATTGTTTTTGTCATTCTTTTCCATATAATCGTCAATGCATTGTGTCACTTCGTTCGTGATAAGTGTTAGTGAATGTATGCAATTTGGTCGTGCATTGAGACTGTTCCGATATATTATATGCGAGATACAAAGTTAAACTAGATTTGCTTATACCCTTGGCGTAACATTGTTATGTTGGACTTGTGAACATATTCATTTTGGATTTCTGAACCTCGTTTCACATGGGGCGTTACTTTAATTACATTATTACCTGCGCCGACATATCATCTACAGGAAACAGACTGAATGCACCAGGGGGGCGTTTCACAAAACTTGTTAGCAAGTGACAAATGACAGTTTTTCTTATAAGCTAATGAAATCCTTGCTTCTGATTGGTTATCAGCAGATTTGTCACTGATTTTAGTCATTTGTCATTGTAAGAAGGCTTTGTGAGACGGGTCCCAGGATTTTCAAGTAATTCCTACCAGTTGCTTTATTTGTATTCACCATCTGTATGATATCACCCTCACCTGCTGCGTCAAAGACCGCTCTAGTCACTGACGCAGTACATATACATAAACATACACATATACATATGTACATTGTAAGATGGGGGGGGGGGGCGGTAGCTCAGTCGGTAGAGCTGAGTTTTCTTGTATTTTATTTTAGCGAAGAATGTTTGTGTCTATCAAACCGAAACGAAGTTATACCCAAATATGGACATGCTTACACTACAAATAGTTTTCCAATAATTAATATATACAGATGGATCCAAACTTGATGATGTTCTAACAGGTGCAGCCTTTTATATTCCAGAATTTAAGATAAGTAAAGGTTAGAGAATAACCCCAGTAAATATTATGACTGCTGAACTGACAGCAATCATGCTAGCATTACAATGGATAGAGGACTATCTCCCAGTTTCTGTGGTAATATCATCAGATTCTATGTCAGCCGTGCAGCCTATTAAAAAACATGGACAAATCTAGTTTAGTTATAGAAATATCGGAGAAATTGACACAATTAAGCGTTTTTGGTATAGACATACAGTTTGAGTGGATACCTGCACATTGTGACCTACTGGGAAACGAAAGAGCCGACAGTTTGGCTCAAAATGCAGCACAAAAAGGACACATAGATGTAACGATACCACGGAATACCACATGCGTCATTTTTATCAGCATTTATGGCAAAATCAGTAGGAAGCAATATTTAGACAAAGGCAGATTCTTATTTCAGATCCATCCATATATAACGAGACTTATTGACTTATCTGGTTTTTGTAGAAAAGATGAAAGATTATTACATCAAATGAGAATGGGAAAATGCATATTAAACTTTTACAAATTCAGTATTAATAAACATGAAAATGGCCTTTGTGATTTTTGTCATGAAACTGAAACAATCGAACATTATTTATTGGTGTGTAAGAAATATATACGAGAGAGGAAAAGGTTGTTTTCTTGGTTGAAAATTAAAGATAAGATTTTAAAGAATTTACTAGGGAATAAAAAATCATCTGCACACTATGTTGGCTTTCATAAAAGCTACAGGTAGATACCAATCATTATAGCTCACGAGTTATAACTAACTCTCTTGGAGAGGAAGGGAAGAGAAAGTATAGTTTAGCACTGCACAGTTAAATCCTATTATTATTAAAATACTCGCACCCTGTTCATGGTCGACACCTAAAATTATTGTCCGCACCATCGAATAAACAGAAGCTGCACATTACATGATACCCACTGAAGAGGAAAAGAAACAGCGCCATCTAATCATCAGTGATGAACAACTAAAACAAAACAAAAAACAGCACAGCAAGGCTGAAATAATCTTTTTAGATTGATCAGCCTTAAAACCCAACAACAACAGTTAACAATAGTTTACCACATACTGAAATAAGAAATACAATAATTGAATACAATGAGATACATAATTGACATTTAGCTGATTACGAAATACTTGCATGTGATAAGAAAATTATAAACTATGAATTCATTTATCAAAAAAGGAAATGAAATTGTATACAGATTATGACATAAGATGACACAATACTCATAATGCAGAACTAAGTTTCACACTTTAAATCCAAGTGTTTATTAGCCCACGTAACATAAACTATATGATTTAAAGCATGCGCCCTTTTCTCTTCATTATGTTCTGTAAACAACTGGATTATTCATATCTGACCAGGATGTGTATTTGTAGTTTGTGTTTGTTTGTCACGGTTTATACTTCTTAGGAATGTGGCAATATTACACAATATTACATATAAAACAATGATTACTAGATTTCTTAATAAATCTTTTAAAAGAACAAACGGAGAATATTAATATTGGGAGACTTTAACTCTCATAATATTCAAGAGGGCAGTAAAAAAAAGATAAAAATGGAAAAGTGATTGAGGAATATTTACTGAAACACAATTTAGTCTTCCTAAATTATGGCTCGGGAACTCGCCGAAACCCAACCACCTGTGAAACCTCTTGTTAAAGGCCCGGGGGGGGGGGGGGGGGGGGGGTGTTTCATAAAGCTGTTCGTAAGTTACGCACGACTTTACGCACGACTGGTGATATGTTCTTGTGCTACATGTAAATGATTGAGAATCTGATTAGCACCCAAGAACATGTTCCAGTCGTGCGTAAAGTCGTGCGTAACTTACGAACAGCTTTATGAAACACCCCCCCGGTCACACATAGGGGCGCACAGCCGGCGCACGGCCGGCGCATTGAAAATCGGAAAAAGTCATGAGCCTGATTTTTGTCTGGATTTAGGAGAAGCTAGCGAGCTGACAACGAATGCATAGCGTGTCGCTAGCGCGCTGCGCGTATACAGGGCGTTTGCTCCACGTATGTCTGGCGTCCTTATGGCGTGTACAATCATGCGTCGAGCTCCGCGCACACTTTTGAGCATGTTAAAAAAATCCCGACGCACACAGCGAATGACGAGGATTGCATAGCGTGGTCCAGCGTAAGTCCAGCGCGCTCGACGAACGAGTAACGCATGATGACGCACACCTAGCAAACGACAACGCACTGGCCCAAATTGCAAATTTCTTATGTGATGGCCGTGCGTCCCCCATGCGTCCCCTCTGTGTGACCGGGCCTTAGATCTATCTTTAGCAACTCCCGTTTTAGCCAGCTCCATTAGCTCAAAAGTGCTATTTAAATAAATTCGGAAGTGACCATTTTACAATATATATTGAAATCGACAAAAAAAAAATCCTAAATCAGATTGTACGGAAGATGACCTAACTCTAAAACCAGGCGCGGATCCAGGGGGGGGGGGGGGGGGGCCGAGCGGGCCTTGGCCCCCCCCCCCCCGCAAAAAAAAAACAAAAAAACAAAAAAAGAGAGAAGAAAGGAAAAGAAGGGAAAGGGAAAGAGGAGAGAAAGGGAAAGAAAGAAAGAAAGGAAGAAGAAGAAGAAGAAGAAGAAGAAGAAAAGAAAAGGGGGAAGAAGGAAATCGGGGGGACCGAAAGGGCCCTGCCTCCCAGGCTGTTAACCCCCCCCCCCCCAATCAAAAAAATAAGAGAGAAGGAAGGAAAGGGAAAGAAAAAAGGAAAAGAGGAGATACTGGCGTACTAATGGGGGGGGGGGGCTTTGGGGGAATCAAATTCAAACGTGGTTTATTTCTAATTCCACAACGGTGGATTACAATTAATGCTGAAATGACATAATTTCCGAGATTTGTCCTAATTTTTTGGTAAATTATACGTTTGTATATGTGTTTGTTGGAAAATGACAAATTCCTAAATTTACAGCCAGGCACGAAATATGATTCTTGAGATTCCTACATATCAGGGCCCGAGGTACGGCAGGGATCGGGAGCCTCGAGCTCCCTCCCCCCCCCCACTTTATTTGAAAAAGTATATTAAAGAGAAGAAAAAAATAGAATGAGAGCAAGAAAGAAAGAATAGTTAAATGCCAGTGCAGTGTTAAAAAATGAGGCATCAAAATATGCTCATCTGACCGTGATTAAATGCCTAAAACCCCTAAGCTTCCGGGGGCTCTGCCCCCTGGATTCCACCTAGGGCGCTACGGCTGGCCCTTAGATGCTCATCTGACGGTAATTTATTGCCTAAAACCCCTCTTTTTTTTTGGGGGGGGGGGATCCGCCCCCTGGACCCCACGCCAAATAGTGAACTACCAGTGTCACAAAATAATAGGTATTAAAAAAAAATGATCATCTGACCTTAATTAAACGCCTGAAACCCTGAGCTTCCGGGGCCGGACAAGTTATCAAAATGTGTTTATCTAACCGCAGGCGCGTAGCCAGGGGGGGGGGGGGGGGGGGGCGGTCCCCCCGAAAAAGGAAGAGGACGTAGGAAGTAAAAGGAGCAGACAAAGAACATCTTTGAAATTCAGACAAGGATTAAGAGTATAGAGAACGGTACAACGAATCGTCTTCTTTCTCTAATAATTTAATGAAACGTCAAAGCTTCGCGCGGGAGGGGAGGGGGGGGGGGGGGACTGAATTCAGACAAGGGTTAAGAATCGAGGACGGTACAGTGAATCGTCTTCTTTCTCTCATAATCTTATGATACGTCAAAGCTTCCGCGCGGGGGGGGGGGGGGGACCTGAATTCAGACGAGGATTAAGAGTCGAGAACTGTACAGCCAATCGTCTTTCTTTCTCTCATTATCTTATGAAACTTAAAAGCTTCCGCGCTTCGCGCAGGAGGGGGGGGGGGGGGAACTGAATTAAGACGAGGATTAAGAGTTGAGAACGGTACAACGAGTCGTCTTCTTTCTCTAATGATTTAATGAAACGTAAAAGCTTCCGCGCTTCGATCGCTCGGGATGGGGGAACCTGAATTTAGACGAGGTTTAAGAGTCGAGAACTCTCCAACGAATCGTCTTCTTGCTCTAACAATTTAATAAAACGTAAAATTTTCCGCGCTTCGCGCGGGAGGGGAAAAACTAAATTCAGACGAGGATTAAGAGTCGTGAACGGTACAACAAATCGTCTTCTTTCTTTAATAGTTTAATGAAACGTCAAATCTTCCGCGCTTCGCGCAGGAGGGTGGGGGGAACCTGAATTCAGACAAGGATTAAGAGTTGAGAACTCTAAAATGAATCGTCTTCTTTCTCTAATAATTTAATAAAACGTAAAATTTTCCGCGCTTCGCGCGGGAGGGGCAAAACTAAATTCAGACGAAGATTTTGAGTCGAGAACGGTACAACGAATCGTCTTCTTTCTTTAATAATTTAACGAAACGTCAAAGCTTCCGCGTTTCGTGGAGGAGGGGGGGGGGGGGGACTCGCCCCTCCCTGCACCGACCCCCCCCCCGCCGCATTACATCACCGTTGGTCACCATTACGTACCAATATTTGGCTAGCATAATTTCAAATTTGGGCCCCCCCCCCTAAGAAATCCTGGATCCGCGCCTGTCTAAAACGGTCATTCAATAAGATAGATTGGCACGCTTTCAAAGCGATCAACGAATGGACACTGACTCGCTGCAAGACGAAGATGTCAAAACCTTGCAAAAAATGCAAAATAAAGATTAAGGAACGGAATGAATACAAAATTAAGTTATTGAAAGCGTGGAACGATGAAAATCAATATTTTATCTAAAAAGGTAAATTCTGTAGATTTGTGACCACGCTTTGAACGTCCCTTGAGAGACCAATGCCAGTAAACGGTGAGAGCAAATTATGGCATGAATGACCTGTCATATTTAAGTCCAACTTTAAGTCGATCGTAGTCTTTGTTACCCCCCCCCCCCCCAGCAACTATACGAATCAGGTAAGTTACAGTTCACTGGCTTCCTCCTTAACTACTGTGATATGAACCCAGTCCCTGAAGAACAGTATCTCTCCGTCAGGATCAGTCTTTGAACTAGCAGGAGATCTCAAGCACGCAAAGACCTTCTCCTGGAGATCATCAGAGGCCGTTCTTCTGAAGTTCTTCGTGTGGGTCCAGAAGTCTAGAAGATGATGTCCATCCTGGGAATTCTCTTGGAAGCATAACGAGGAGGGCGTGTACCATGTGCCTCAGTCCAGCTTCTGAGGGAGTCCCAGCGAGTCGAGGGACGCCGTGACGTCATTGTCCGTACATAGGCGTGGCCGGAATGCGCCATGTTGTTGAATACCGAATCATCTATGCACTATGTATACATTTTTGCCAAGATTAGGTATTCTTCCAATTTGATAGAAATAACATTGTTCTTCTATACATGATGCATGAATGATGCATGAAGACTCTCATCTACGGCTGATTGTCAACGAAACGGAGTTAAGTCTTTTGCTAATTTCATTTATTGATACGGCAGGCAGCCAGTGAAAACGAATTCGTTTAATAAAATTATGGAAATGCAAGCACTACTTTAAACAAACAGAACTTTGTCATTCCTCGCTCATTTTTCCTGATTGAGGTGTCATATGAAAGGGCAAAAACTCAACTCTGAATTTTTCTTCGAAATTCAGATACCGTCCGCAAAATGTCTTTTTGGTTTCCTTCCTTTAAATTGCTTTTAATCACTCATGCGTGAAATATGCATCATCTGAGTAGAATCACATGAAAGAAGAGACTCTAAGCTTTGCAAATATGTATCATTCATTAATCATAGTTGTGATTAAGTTATGATAGAACATCGATACTTCTCGGTTTCGTTTTTTTTCTGGGACGCACTGTATACATAGCAGGATCATAGGCCCTCGAAATGCGCTTCAAATGATGGAAGCCTTTAATCAATGATAGAACTGCTGAGTAAGACAATTTGCTTGTACTTAATTCATTTAAAATCCACTAACAAACTATTGCTTTAGGTAACAGTCAGTTTACCTATAGATTGATTCATTTGTTTATTAATCTTTTAACAGTTATTTCCGACATTTATAAAGAGTACCATATTTTTTACAAATAGTGGTGCTTTTCCATTATGATGTAGGTCCTTTTCCGGTAACAAAAACTTACAATGACGATCATAGATATAAACTCATAATAGTGACAAAACAAAAGACATAAAGATATAAACATATACGTGTATCAACATTCTTTGGTATCCCCGTAACGAATGGGAACTTTTTCATCAAATAGCTTCACATAGTTTTGGAAACTTATAAACAAAGTAGAACAACGATTGACTTTAATTTTGAGCACTTCCTTGTCAGCCAATCGAATCATCAGAGCATTCTCAAATAAGCACATCTATTTGCTTTTGGAAACCTTTTTTGTTGGTGGTGTTGAAGTTGTTACTGTTGTTGGTTGTTTGTTTGTTTAGTTTTTGCCCTTTTTTGTCTTTGAATGGCTCCTGAGTTATACAAGTAGACTTCCAGTCCTTACACCTGAGAAAAGAGGTTAAAAGAGGAAAGGAAGAGAGAGAGAGAGAGAGAGAGAGAGAGAGAGGGGAGAGGGGGGGGGGGGGGGGGGGAGAGGGAAGGAAAGTAAGAAAAAGAGAAATAAAGGATAAGAGATCGAGAGATTATAGTGAAGAAAGATAGAAAGATGGAGAAAGAGAGAAAAAAGAGAGAGAGAGAGTGGAAGGAGAGAGAGAGAGAGAGGAAGAAGAAAGAGAGAGAGAGAGAGAGAGAGAGAGAGAGCGGCAGTGGGTAAAGAAGAGGGACGGGAGAACGGGGACCTTGCCAACAATAAACAATTACATACAAATTGACGATAAAAAGATAAAAGTATGCATTGCAACATTGACATTACGAATAGTATTAATAAGTTGAACACAGAATACATTGTAAACATTGTATGGCTCACCTAAAAATATTTTGGTAAGTTATATAAATGAGAATGTTTTCTTTTTTTACTCAGGTGGTAGTAGAAACATTAACAGAGTATAATAACAACCTCTTTAAGAAAATATTTATTAAAAAAACTTAATACAGGCGGATACAGCAGAGAAGCAAGATTCAAAAGGAGTAATTGCAGACCTGCGTAAACTAAAATAACGAGCAACCAGTATGAAATCGACAGTATACAATACGAAGAGTAAAGATAATGAAAATGTTCAATCCAAGATAGTTAATTGAATCTGAAATATAATGCATTAAGATTTGGCGAATTGTAGGTGTGTTCAGGCAAAGATTGCAATTGAAGAAAAAAAATACATGTAATTAACAAAGTTTGGCAGTATTATGCCATCACAAAAGTTGAACAAACCGGATGCCACATCATGGCTTACTAGAGAGTGTAAAACATTTTTTTCTGTAGCGTTCTGTCCTACACTTGATTTCACGTATCCTGTTGCTATGTCTCAATTGTCTTCGAGAACACTGGCCTTCAGCTAACCACTCACGAAAGTGACAGTAGAGGGACCTAGCAAAGTTAAGACAGATGTTGGTCTCTTGACATAACTACCATAAAGCTTATGTTTGCGGTTTATTAATTTCAATAACACACGAGTTACCCAATGCTTTTAACTTTTACTATTTAATGTTACCTCAACTATTAATAAATGGGAAACATAAATTATATAATTTTAGAAAAATGTGTAGAAAATGTTCATATAAATCACTGACGCCTTCCAATGAAGGTAGAGCCTTCCAATCAATTTCAGCCAAGTGTTGCTTGAACCTTGAGATTGTTTTATCATTTATTCTCCGCTTCAAAACCTGTCTATCTCTTTTAACAGAAGTTACTACAGAGTCCTTTTTTAAACAAAATATAGGCATATGATCTGAAATATCTGAACATATTACACCTGAGCTAAACCCATTTTTGATGCAGTCTGTGAAAAAAGTGTCAATCAATGTTGCACTAATTTCAGTTATACGGGTAGGTTTAGTGACGAGAGAAAATAATCCAAATGAGTACGTTGTCTATGAAACAAGGAAGGGCACGTTAACAGACAACGCAGGCTTCAGTCATCCGCCTGGGTGGGATTCGAACCCGAGATCTTTAGTTCGACTGACCCAACTCGCCTCCTCAGAATGTTAAGTGTTTTGCATGTTCGGAATGAGTGCGCTGTAGCAGAAGCCTACGCCCCTACCCTATCCTATCTGGCTACGGTTAATTAATGCATTAATATGAGAGAATTACAACATTATTTTGCCTACAATTACAGCAAGACGTTTCGAATGCTTTTGATGACAGTGATGCTGTTCACAAGCTTGGTCCGTTGGCGGAGCGGTCGTCCGGTTACAAGAGCTGGTTGCTTGGAGTTTTGCAGGGTCACAAATGTGATCGCGTTCTTGACGTAGCATGTGGAACAGGGTAAGATTCCAATAATGATGTTGATGATAGATGGTTGAATATCAATAACAAAAATAACATAACACATCATGTTCATTATTATAATAAAAATGAGAATAATATTAATAATAGGTCTATATGCTTCTACTAATAGTACAACAACAATATAATGATACTTGATAATGATGAAAATGATAATCAAGGGCCTCGTGACCATAGATAACATGTACGCGTGCCACGCGTTCTTGGTTTTTGCCCGACATAACGTCACTGGTTCTTCATTTCCACAGGCGCGGATCCAGGATTTCTTAGGGGAGGGGGCCCAATTTTTTTTTTTTTTTGCTCCCGAAAATTTGAAAATCGCGCCGGCCAAAAAGTCGCTCAGTGGGGGGGGGGGGGGGGGGCTAGAGAACACAATTTTTTTTTTTTTTTTTTTTTTGCTCCCGAAAATTTGAAAATCGCGCCGGCCAAAAAGTCGCTCAGTGTGGGGGGGGGGGGGGGGGGGGGGGGGGGTAGAGAACACAATTTTTTTTTTTTTTTTTTTTTTTTGCTCCCGAAAATTTGAAAAACGCGCCGGCCAAAAAGTCGCTCAGTGGGGGGGGGGGGGGGGGGGGGGGGGGGGGGGGTAGGTAGAGAACACAATTTTTTTTTTTTTTTTTTTTTTTTTTTTGCTCCCGAAAATTTGAAAAAAAACGCGCCGCCGAAAAGTCGCTCAGTGGGGGGGGGGGGGGGGGGGGGGGGGGGGGGGGGGGGGGGGGGTAGAGAAGAGAACACAATTTTTTTTTTTTTTTTTTTCTCCCGAAAATTTGAAAAAACGCGCCGGCCAAAAAAAATTCGCTCAGGGGGGGGGGGGGGGGGGGGGGGGGGGGGGGGGTAGCGAGCACATTTTTTTTTTTTTTTGGATCCTCAAAAAAGTTTCAATTTGCACCACCCCCCCCCCCCCCCCCCCCCCCCCCCCCCCCCCCCCCCCCCACCCCCCCCCCCCCTTGAGCGCCGGGGGGGGGGCCCAACCCCCAAAAAAGGTAAAAATCACGTGATTTTACATGATTTTTTGCTCAAGGGGGGGGGGGGGGCCCGGGCCCCCGGGCCCCCCCCCCTGGATCCGCCACTGCATTTCCAACATATAGCGCCACTCCTTCTTTATTCCAGGGATATGTGAGTTTGTGTTTTCAAAAAAAACAGCGCCACTCGTATTTTGTTCATTACTTAACTATTTTCGAAATACACCCGTAGATCTATGCAGTAAAGTGGGGAAAGAGAGAGAGAGAGAGAGAGAGAGAAGTACAGGAGCGATGGGAGAGAGAGAGAGAGAGAGAGAGACAGACACACCGACGCACATGTATCACGCGTACTACTAGGCATTATTTTATCAACGTTGTATTCTACGGAGCTATTAATAGCCCCATGCTATTACACTGTTGATGTGGGGAAATGTAAAAGCGATACACATAGCTTAGCGCAGCGGCCTAGCCTGTCTGTGTGTCTGTGTTGTGTGTTGACCTCGACCCGAACTTTCATTGTGCGAAAGATATATGCAGGGTAAAGCTCTAGTAGCGAAACTGAAAGAAGATTTCTATTATCCAGTTATTCATGTAGGCTCAGTGTTGCCCACTGTAAAGTCACTAGTTTCAAATTATAATATGTGCCAGTATGACGATGATGATGATCATGGTAATCATTAGGCATGGTAATCACTATAATTCGTAATTTGTTTATGATTATGTGCAAAAACTGGCCCATTATTATAACTGGTTTAACTAGAGGCTTACATTTACTTAATTCACTATTTAAGTACATGCATGTAAACATTATACATATAATCAAGTATAAGTACAAAAGAGAATTATCCAAAATATTGGCATTAAAATTGTGAAGTAGGCAGCAGGCATACATACAAACACCAGCCCCTAGAACTGACGAAGTCGGAATGGATTGCATTGAATAATTTGTAATAGCTGCAAATCTCTCTCTCTCCATCCTTTTTTTTTTGTTTTCTCTCCCCTATATTTCATTGGTATTTTAAGTTCGCATGGAATTTAACTGATGACTGATATGTGCATGATGGCGACTCTTTATTGTTTTGTTTAATTTCGCCTCCCAATTAGTTCCTGCCAGTTGGCGGTACATAAATTGTTTATTATTAGTTGTTTCATAATAGTAATAATAAGAATAACATGATTGTTTTATTTGCTACGCGCGCCAAATAAACTTGATATCTACTGCCCAAGTCATAATAATATGTCTAGTGCGAATATCAAAATAATAAAAGCACCATGCACAAAGTAACAATACAGCTGCACCATTTTGAACCACCTCGTACCAGTATTTCAGTTGCACTGTTTTGAACCACGTTGTACCAGCAACATTGCAGTAACACTATTTTAAACAAATTTCACAATTGCTCACTTTCTCATTATTCACGGTTAGATTTTTTGGGGGTAATTCAATATAGCATTTCGATATTTTTTTTTCATCATAGCGCAGTTGTGTATAGTACTATCAGGTACTATGATATAAATCAACGTTTTAACCATTAATACTATGGCGATGAAAGAAAAGTGAGCAATTGTGAAATAGGGTACTAGTTACTGTACGTAGTTTGAAATGTTATTGGTTGGTTTAAAATAGTTTTACTGTTGCTGGTACAAGGTGGTTCAAAATGGTGTAGCTGTAATTGGCCGGGAAAAGTTATATCATTATAATAATTATTATTTTTATTATTAGTAATCTTATTATTATTATTATAGTAATGATGATTTGTATTAATATGAAAAAGAATATTATCATTAGTAGTAGCATTAATTACTATCATTTTACTTATTTTTCAAACATCACTTTATTGATCATACATTTATTGACCATCATGCAAATGGTTAATCTTTTAATCCTCAAAAAAAATTCAATTTGCACCCCCCCCCCCTTGAGCGCCAGGGGGGGGGGGGGGCCAACCCCCAAAAAGGTAAAAATCACGTGATTTTACATGATTTTTTTCTCAAGGGGGGGGGGGGGGTCCGGGCCCCCCCCCCCCCCCCCTGGATCCGCCACTGCATTTCCAACATATAGCGCCACTCCTTCTTTATTCCAGGGATATGTGAGTTTGTGTATTCAAAGAAAACAGCGCCACTCGTATTTTGTTCATTACTTAACTATTTTCGAAATACACCCGTAGATCTATGCAGTAAAGGGGGGAAAGAGAGAGAGAGAGAGAGAGAGAAGTACAGGAGCGATGGGAGAGAGAGAGAGGCAGACAGACAGACACACCGACGCACATGTATCACGCGTACTACTAGGCATTATTTTATCAACGTTGTATTCTATGGAGCTATTAATAGCTCCATGCTATTACACTGTGATGTGGGGAAATGTAAAAGCGATACACATAGCTTAGCGCAGCGGCCTAGCCTGTCTGTGTGTCTGTGTGTGTGTGTTGACCTCGACCCGAACTTTCATTGTGCGAAAGATATATGCAGGGTAAAGCTCTAGTAGCGAAACTGAAAGAAGATTTCTATTATCCAGTTATTCATGTAGGCTCAGTGTTGCCCACTGTAAAGTCACTAGTTTCAAATTATAATATGTGCCAGTATGACGATGATGATGATCATGGTAATCATTAGGCATGGTAATCACTATAATTCGTAATTTGTTTATGATTTATGTGCAAAAACTGGCCCATTATTATAACTGGTTTAACTAGAGGCTTACATTTACTTAATTCACTATTTAAGTACATGCATGTAAACATTTATACATATAATCAAGTATAAGTACAAAAGAGAATTATCCAAAATATTGGCATTAAAATTGTGAAGTAGGCAGCAGGCATACATACAAACACCAGCCCCTAGAACTGACGAAGTCGGAATGGATTGCATTGAATAATTTGTAATAGCTGCAAATCTCTCTCTCCATCCCTTTTTTTTTTTGTTTCTCTCCCCTATATTTCATTGGTATTTTAAGTTCGCATGGAATTTAACTGATGACTGATATGTGCATGATGGCGACTCTTTATTGTTTATTTAATTTCGCCTCCCAATTAGTTCCTGCCAGTTGGCGGTACATAAATTGTTTATTATTAGTTGTTTCATAATAGTAATAATAAGAATAACATGATTGTTTTATTTGCTACGCGCGCCAAATAAACTTGATATCTACTGCCCAAGTCATAATAATATGTCTAGTGCGAATATCAAAATAATAAAAGCACCATGCACAAAGTAACAATACAGCTGCACCATTTTGAACCACCTCGTACCAGTATTTCAGTTGCACTGTTTTGAACCACGTTGTACCAGCAACATTGCAGTAACACTATTTTAAACAAATTTCACAATTGCTCACTTTCTCATTATTCACGGTTAGATTTTTTGGGGGTAATTCAATATAGCATTTCGATATTTTTTTTCATCATAGCGCAGTTGTGTATAGTACTATCAGGTACTATAATATAAATCAACGTTTTAACCATTAATACTATGGCGATGAAAGAAAAGTGAGCAATTGTGAAATAGGGTACTAGTTACTGTACGTAGTTTGAAATGTTATTGGTTGGTTTAAAATAGTTTTACTGTTGCTGGTACAAGGTGGTTCAAAATGGTGTAGCTGTAATTGGCCGGGAAAAGTTATATCATTATAATAATTATTATTTTTATTATTAGTAATCTTATTATTATTATTATAGTAATGATGATTTGTATTAATATGAAAAAGAATATTATCATTAGTAGTAGCATTAATTACTATCATTTTACTTATTTTTCAAACATCACTTTATTGATCATACATTTATTGACCATCATGCAAATGGTTAATCTTTTAATCCTCAAAAAAAATTCAATTTGCACCCCCCCCCCCTTGAGCGCCAGGGGGGGGGGGGGGGCCAACCCCCAAAAAGGTAAAAATCACGTGATTTTACATGATTTTTTTCTCAAGGGGGGGGGGGGGGGCCCGGGCCCCCCCCCCCCTGGATCCGCCACTGCATTTCCAACATATAGCGCCACTCCTTCTTTATTCCAGGGATATGTGAGTTTGTGTATTCAAAGAAAACAGCGCCACTCGTATTTTGTTCATTACTTAACTATTTTCGAAATACACCCGTAGATCTATGCAGTAAAGTGGGGAAAGAGAGAGAGAGAGAGAGAGAGAGAAGTACAGGAGCGATGGGAGAGAGAGAGAGGCAGACAGACAGACACACCGACGCACATGTATCACGCGTACTACTAGGCATTATTTTATCAACGTTGTATTCTATGGAGCTATTAATAGCTCCATGCTATTACACTGTTGATGTGGGGAAATGTAAAAGCGATACACATAGCTTAGCGCAGCGGCCTAGCCTGTCTGTGTGTCTGTGTGTGTGTGTTGTTGACCTCGACCCGAACTTTCATTGTGCGAAAGATATATGCAGGGTAAAGCTCTAGTAGCGAAACTGAAAGAAGATTTCTATTATCCAGTTATTCATGTAGGCTCAGTGTTGCCCACTGTAAAGTCACTAGTTTCAAATTATAATATGTGCCAGTATGACGATGATGATGATCATGGTAATCATTAGGCATGGTAATCACTATAATTCGTAATTTGTTTATGATTTATGTGCAAAAACTGGCCCATTATTATAACTGGTTTAACTAGAGGCTTACATTTACTTAATTCACTATTTAAGTACATGCATGTAAACATTTATACATATAATCAAGTATAAGTACAAAAGAGAATTATCCAAAATATTGGCATTAAAATTGTGAAGTAGGCAGCAGGCATACATACAAACACCAGCCCCTAGAACTGACGAAGTCGGAATGGATTGCATTGAATAATTTGTAATAGCTGCAAATCTCTCTCTCTCATCCCTTTTTTTTTTTGTTTTCTCTCCCCTATATTTCATTGGTATTTTAAGTTCGCATGGAATTTAACTGATGACTGATATGTGCATGATGGCGACTCTTTATTGTTTTGTTTAATTTCGCCTCCCAATTAGTTCCTGCCAGTTGGCGGTACATAAATTGTTTATTATTAGTTGTTTCATAATAGTAATAATAAGAATAACATGATTGTTTTATTTGCTACGCGCGCCAAATAAACTTGATATCTACTGCCCAAGTCATAATAATATGTCTAGTGCGAATATCAAAATAATAAAAGCACCATGCACAAAGTAACAATACAGCTGCACCATTTTGAACCACCTCGTACCAGTATTTCAGTTGCACTGTTTTGAACCACGTTGTACCAGCAACATTGCAGTAACACTATTTTAAACAAATTTCACAATTGCTCACTTTCTCATTATTCACGGTTAGATTTTTTGGGGGTAATTCAATATAGCATTTCGATATTTTTTTTTCATCATAGCGCAGTTGTGTATAGTACTATCAGGTACTATAATATAAATCAACGTTTTAACCATTAATACTATGGCGATGAAAGAAAAGTGAGCAATTGTGAAATAGGGTACTAGTTACTGTACGTAGTTTGAAATGTTATTGGTTGGTTTAAAATAGTTTTACTGTTGCTGGTACAAGGTGGTTCAAAATGGTGTAGCTGTAATTGGCCGGGAAAAGTTATATCATTATAATAATTATTATTTTTATTATTAGTAATCTTATTATTATTATTATAGTAATGATGATTTGTATTAATATGAAAAAGAATATTATCATTAGTAGTAGCATTAATTACTATCATTTTACTTATTTTTCAAACATCACTTTATTGATCATACATTTATTGACCATCATGCAAATGGTTAATCTTTTAATCACAACGGAAATGTTGTTCTTCGTTAAAGATAAAGTTGAGTTCTGGGGGGTATTTCACAAAGACTAAGATCGACTTTAAGTTGGACTTAACTATGGGAGGCCGCTCATGCCACTGTTTTCTCTCATCATTTACTGGCATTGGTCTCTCAGAAGAGTTACAAATTAAGGTCACAAATCTACAGAATTTACACTTTTTGATAGTTCATGATTGAAGGAAAAAATATTATCTAAAGATCATAATTGAGCCTATACCAATATTGAGAGCAACCAGTGGCATGAATGGCCAGCCATAGTTAAGTCCTACTTAAAGTCAATTAGTCTTTGTGAAACGTCCCCCCCCCCCCGATCATGCGACTGCATTGTGAAAGACAAGGTGTGGAATGGATCAGGAAAAAAAATGTTCCAAGTAGCATGTATGTATGTGGTGTGTACTGCTAGGTTCTGGAGTCATCAAAATCATATTAAATTTGGCCCAGTCTTGATAAAGTAACAAGCACTGTATATGGACTGTTTACAAGCAGATGTATAAGGGACTACACGAATGATGTCAGGGCTTCTTACCTTGATTTCCTTATCTATCTATGCTCATTACTCAGCCACAACCAGAATACATTTTCTACCACAATTGTTTGGCAAATGGCATTTATTTGTAGTCTATAACATTCAGTGTAAGTTTTGTTTGAGTCTGTGAGAATTCATTTTCTTTTCTTTTTTACCAGAACTCAAGTTTTTCTTTAAACGTTTTACTGTTTGTTAATTATATTTTGATCATTATTACCATCCCTTTGCAGTGTGGACTCTTTATTCCTGCTCGAGCAGGGAATGGAGGTTGTTAGCTGTGATGATGCTGAAGCGATGCTCTCCTACGCCAGAGCTGAAAAGGAACGTCTTGGACTTAAAGACTGGGGTAAGGCATGTTTTGCTCTTTTTAACCAAAATAATAGCCAAACTTGTATAATCGTAAGGCCATTTTATATATTTTGTGAGTAGCTACGTTTACACTTGCCATTCATGTTACATTTAAAGGTAAAGACCAGTATTGGAAACGCCCCAATTTCAAAAAATGAAATGGAAGCTCTCATTACCAATCATGTGAAAGAATATGTTTTGACTAATACATGATGATAAAAAATTTGCCGCGAAACCGCCTACTAATTCATATATTTGGTAAATTTGTTTCTCTCATGGTCTGTGAGAGATATAGGGTAGTCCCATATACATCTTTCTTTGTATAGTGCTTGTAACTTTACGAAGAATGGGCCAAATTTCTTATCATTTTGATGATTCCAGAACCTTGCAGATGCTAGATGCTGGATGATCAACCTTTTCTGATCGATTCTACGTTTCTTTCACAATGCAATCGCATGACCATAACTGGTCTTTACCTTTAATTTATTCTCATTGATCAATAACGTTCTGAGATGGTTTCAACATTATATCTACCCATTGTGAATTTGTGATAAGCTTATTTATAAAAAGAACAGTAATCATTCAAAAAACATTATACATGTATATATCAGTGGCGTAATGAGCAAAAACGTTTGGGAGGGCTGACAAAATATCCGCATCAACCCACTCTAACATGCAGGCCCCGCTGAACGTTTTCCAAGTGGGGTCTAGGGGCAAAGGCCCGGCGGGGGTCAAGGGGCGAAGCACCCGAAGCTCATGGGGTATGGGCATCAGTGGCGGATCCAAGAATTTCTTGCGGGGGGGGGGGCGGGACAAAATGGCATGGGGGTGAAATACATGTAAAACGATGAAGCGACAGAGCGAGGCTTTAGCGGCGGGGGAGCGGAGCGACCAAGCGGGGGTGGGTCTGGGTCCTCCCAGAGTAGGAAGCATTTGCAATTTTTGAACCACATTGTAATATGACATAAGATTGCTTTCTCCTACCCCTCAAAGAGTAGGGATCTTTTGCAATTTGAGAACCACATTTGGCGCATTAATGTCCACGGCACTTCCTGGAAAAAACGAGGTCTTCTGATTGGTTAGAAGTTAGAGAAAAGTGATCTGTCACGTCGTGAGACGTTGTATATGCCTCGTTGCCGCACAATGCACAAAGACGGTGGTCCGGTACTTCACCAGTTGTACTTGCAAAACGAGCCACAAATTACGGACAAATTGTAAACGCATCTTTTTGTGAGTTTATGATCGGCGATCGATCGTGATCGCCGTTTTTCGGTGATTCTACAAAAGTAAGCATGAACGCAACAGTGTTTTAAACTAAACGCGTAACAGATGCCTGATTCTGGCCAGAAAAAGTGAAGCATGAACACGCCCTTAAAGGCCCGAATTCACAAAGCAAGGTTTGAGCTAAAACCTCCTTTTTTCGCCAAACCTCCTTTTGTTCTTTACAAACCAGTTTGTGAATTCGGGCCAATATGTCTAAACTCCGTGGTACAATATAATGCCAGAAGGTCCCTACAATAACATGCGTGTTTATCTCCCTCTTTTTCATTAAAACAAATAATTTCACACTAGTTTTGTTTTATCTCACAACGAGTGTGAAAAGGAAGTGTACTATTTATAACCCTGTACTATACTATACATGTGTGTAGGATTAAGACTTTCTACTACCCCTAGGCCCCTCGGATAGTACGTACGGGCCTAGGCTAAATGTAAGGAAATGTTTGCCAATATCACAAAGGGTTCACGTTTATTGTGCCTTTGTGACTCAGTCTCTTTTGTGATATCTATGTGTAGACAGTTTTCCGCCACAGTCTGGAATTTTACACTAAAGCACAATGCACTAAATTCTTCAGCCAGCCGCTAGTCTGGCTCTGTCAGTGTCTCTCTTTCTTGTATTCCGCTAAAATTAGCTTAGGCCCTTTACAATCATTATCCCTGATATGCGAATACAGACAAACATGTGTATAAAGACTGCTCAGGTTAAACGAGAAAAAAATGGTCTTTATGAGCTGGTGGTCTTTATGTACAGGTTCCTATAATATACTACAGGTTTCAATTGAAAATATAGTTCGAGGGAAACAAAAAATGTGTTTCTTTTGTACTTTTCCTTCGTTATATGTGTAAAGCGCCTTTGTAGAAGGACCTGAACCTTTAATATAGGAGACACCATTATTATTAATATATTATTATAGTATTATATTTATTTTTGCTCTTATTATTATAGTTATTATTATATTATCATTGTTGTTCTGATTTTGATGTTGTTTTTGTTGTTGTTACTATGAATTGTCATTATTCATTTATTCATTTACTAATCATTATTAGAAGGTGTAGTAGTATAGTTGTTGCTGTTGTATTACATCATTTACATGAATATATATTTTTATCTCGTTTGCAGAGGTAAAGCGGGCTAACTGGCTGACCTTACCGGAAGATATCCCGGAGCAAGGTCAATTTGACGCCGTACTTTGCTTGGGAAGCTCGATTTTACACCTCATGATAAACTGCCTGAGCTCGCCCTCTATCGGAAATGTTTGACCAACTTCAAGAAGTTTCTTAAACCTGGTGGCTTGCTGCTGATTGATCACAGAAACATAGATTCTATGCTTGATCGAGGGATTGTCGTGAATAAGAACGTTTATCATGCGGTAAGTGATATAAAACCTGGAATAAAATTACATCGTTTAACGAAACCGTTACAAGTAGAAATGTCCGACATCTCATTGAAAGGCACGTATCAAAGGAAGGTAGGGTACTGACACTGCTTCACATTTACGTATGCTGTCGTCAGCAGTTCAAAATAGGGACTTTTAGATTTACACGACGACAACGTGGGCTGCTACGTGTGACGTCCTTTTAAAGGGATCTGGTAACTTTGTCTCGGATTCTTAAACAAAATCTGGATTAGCTCATGTTGCAATGATAATTATAAAGCTTGAGGTCAGTCAGGAGCCCCATGACTTTCACAAGCCGATCGCCTGTCTGATGATCAAGATATTTATGATTGGAATTACAAATCTTGAAAACCGTTCGCCGAACGGTTTTCATAACACTACAGTCTATTGGGGAAAACGAGTATGGTAAAACCGGTCACTCATGCAAAGAATTTTACTTTTTCGAGGCATTTCTTGATTATTTCGAAGAGGGATTTTTTAGGGCTTCAATATTACACCATATCACATATACTGATAACACTTAGGGCCGTGTATCTCAGATTTAACATTGTTAAACGATTCCTTTAAGGCCATAAAAGGACGTCACACGTAGCATTCCACGCAAATCTAAAAGTCCATTGTCCTGATTTTATCAACAGCTATATGTCCGAAATGCATCGCCAACTGCATGCATCACCACCTGGCTCTAGATACACCTCACCGAAAGATAGCGCAATTTAAAATACATGTGGCCTTTTAAACTAACATGCTTTTCAGTGCGATGTCAGCAAAAGTGTACATATTGTAACGAAATTTATTACAACTGTTTAATTCAGACTGCTCTCGTTCTCGGACTCTTAATTGTCTCTTCTTAGTTCTCGCTCAGTATCTCTCTCACTCATGCGTGTATACAAAACAAATGCCACAGAAGAAATGGAGTAGGTCGATCGTGAATTTCAGTTCTATTCGTCATTTATTACATTTAATAATGACAGCTCGGTAGAAATCGTGCTCTCTAGACTGGCACTAAGTACAGTCATTTACAGTGAACTATCAGAACGCCTGCAGATTTGGAAAGCGGCAAAAGGGAGTCCCAAGGAGAAGTCTCAAGAAGAAATCTATCGATTTTAGATTTCCCTGGCTTTCTATAGGGAGCTATATTTATACAATTTTCTAGCGGGCCAACCTTCCAGTAAGGAAACAATCCGACCTCGAGCTAAATGGCAGAGTCTGACCTCAAACTGAGGGCAAAGTCCGACCTCCGCTCGGGGTCATTCGGGTTTCCGCACGCGACTGAGTATAAGTCCTTGCCGTTTAAGACGAGGCCATTAAACCGATTGAATCTTTGAGTAGCACAAAATGTACGACCATCCGGTACAAGGGTCTAAAAAATCAGACTATTACTTAGGTGATTTCAATCACTAATTTCGATTCGACAACTAAAGGTCGTTATTTTCCCACAAAAAGCCATTTGCAAACCTTTTCGCTATGAGGGATGTTTTAAATAAGTATTGTTTTTCAAATGCCGTTAGAATTAACGTTTTCATGTTTTGACCTGCAAATGGGACATAGTACCTTCCCAAGCCCACTACTTGTAACTACTTGCTCCCTCTATGTAGAAAACAATACCGAAGCGGTGCCCGTTGGTCCCCCATGATCCTCTTTTTTCTATGTTAATTGAGAGCTGAGTTGATGAGATAGCCACATATGTCAGTGACCACGCTCGGTGGCCTAACCCCTCCTGGCCAAACTAGTACAGACGGGTTTTAAACTATCAACAGACCCTAACCCTTATGACGCAATAAAGCATTTGTCGGACCAAATAATCCAATCTTTGATGTTTAAATATCATTAACAGGAGGACACACTACCAGGCGTAAGTACGAAAACTATCACCGAAGAGGGCGTCACATTGCGAGTCGATATTATTTACGATATGCTGATGAAAGAGGGAGATACTGCTACCAACAACGACAAAATAGAAAAGTAAATATACAGGTTTTTAAAACTTTTTTGGTAACACATTTAGGAGGGTGTTTACCTGTGATAATTTCGATGTAGGTTTAATTTGGTGTTATATTTTTGTTACCTGACTGCTAAGAATGCACGCATATGCTTTTACGTACCCTACAAGGGGACCGACGGCGTAAGTCCTGTACAAGGATCTTTGTAACGAGGATGAATGCAAGTTACCAATGAGCTATCACACCCTCACATGTATATGGTTCAGACTTATCCCGCATACGTGTACCGGCAGTCTGAAGTTAGCTGCCATTCTTTTTCGACCGCCAGACGTGCCAGTTTAGTTCTTTTCAGTTTATTGAATTCCATCTTTAAAAACATTTTTACAAGGTAAAAAAAATGCAATTTCATTTAAAATATAATACATAAGTTGGGATAACATATACATGTAAAATGAATTAATACAAAACAGAATAAGGCACAGCTGTAAAAAGAGAAAAAAAAGAGAAGGTTTTGTCTGGACAGCTTCCAATCAAATTTGATATAATAAATATAGTAAGAAAACAAGTAGCAAGTAAAGTTTCGGATAGTATCGTTCAGGTATAAACCCAGAACATGAAATATAACATGTTGGGATGCAAGAGTCAGAGGAAAGCAAAGGGGAAACGTGAGGGGAAGAAAGAAAGGGACGACAGTAAAGAAAATGTGGACACTGTAGATTTGTCTTGGTATTGACAGCTCCCCAAAACTTCAGTCACATCAACCGGACCCTAAACCGAATAACTACTAGTACTAGGCCATTTTCGTAATGTAACCAAAATTAATGCAAAGGTCTTTGGGCAGTGCATGGTTACGAATTGATTCCATTCACCTGTTACGAATAAATGTATTTCAATAGTGAGGAATGTGAATTACATATATTCATGTATTATGTGTTGCTAGGTAGGGCAAGGGAGATGTTTGTCCTACCTAGCAACAAATAATATATGCAGTATGCATTCTGATTAATGAAATACAATTAGTTGTAATAGGTGAATGGAATCACTCGTACCCAGACACTTCGCATATACGTATGCATTATTTGGTAACATTACGAAAATAGCTTATTACATTGACCCTAACGTCAAAGATCAGTTGATGTAGAGTCGGTTTCGAGATGGTTTGGATGACCGTTGGTCAAGTACATTACAACGGACAATGACCGGTGCTCAAGTATATTACTACGGACAATGACCGGTGCTCAAGTTCATTACCACGGACAATGACCGGTGGTCAAGTACATTACTACGGACAATGACCGGTGGCCAAGTACATGCATTACAACGGACACTGGCTACCTACAAAATTAATGTCTCTGGTTTTATGGTTATTTGTTAATTTTACGAATGCCCTGATTCTGCTCTCTTATTTACAGGGTAATCATGCCGTTAGCACCGATCCACGTTCACAAGTTTTCTGCGTTACTCAGGGAGATGTTCGGACCGAAATACGAATACACTCTGTACGGCGATCTGCAACGACTGGACAACGGGAACACAGAAAATGTAGCCTATTTTCAACACGTTGTACACGAATAGACTAGTTTAGACATAGTTTCAACTGACCACAAACATCAAAAATATAATTTGTTTAAACATGGAAAAGTCCTGCTCTGTACATTTCAGAATAATTACTGCCAAACTGATGGAGGCGTTTCATGAATCATACCTTTTTGTTTGCCCTCTTGACCAAATCCTTTCATCTGTGTATCAACAAATGTACTGTCGATGAATTAACGATTAACAACAAAACAATCTATCATGAACAAAGAAGTAGTATCCTTCTTAATGCGTGTTATAGCTTGGTACAATAGACCTTTATCTGCCCATGTGCATATATTATAAGTTTCATTAAAGTTATATATATTATATAAATGTAATTACGATGGGGTCCGTCGCAGTAGATCGACAGCCCATGAAACCGATTGCAATGGCAAAAGTTCCACGAGGCGGACAGCCCACGTTTTTAAATAACATTTGTGAAAGAAAAAAGTTCCAAAAAGGTCCAGAAGATCGACGGTTACTTGAGCAACAGCCCAGGGGGGTGTTGCACAAAGATCCTAAGTAGAACTTAACACTGAGTTGGACTTAGGAAATATGGACAGCCATTGGAGCCTTAAAATGAAATATATTGAAAAGCAGAAATTCAAGTATTTTAGACTTTTTATAAATTCTACATCCAGAACATTAAATGTCCTTGATGATAAAAAAGTATGAATGATTTAACTTTTACAAAATATTTTCAAAGATGATAATGGCTTTCCATAATTTTTAAGTCCAACTTAGATATAAGTTCAACTTAGGATCTTTGTGAAACACCCCCTAGGAGACGATCAAGGGGGTGTTTCACAAAACTTTTCATCAGTGACAAATGACAGTTTTTGTTACAAGCTATACTAAAATCCTTGCTTCTGATTGGCTATCAGCAGATTTGTCACTGATTTTTGTCATTTGTCATTGAAATAAGGCTTTTTGAAACGGGCCCCAGATCGAAGAAAAACCCAAATTAAACAACCACCCCACCTCTCCCTCCCCCATTGGAAAAAAAAAAAGATGAAAAAAGATAGAACGACAGAAGGATGTTGGGCTGTCTGTGTAGCGAACACTCTGTAAAGTTGAAACGTGGATAGAAAGCCGACAAGACCGAAACTATCGGTCTCATGAGCACTACTTCTGAAGCGGTATACTACAACGCCCTGTACTCCTACTCCAACTAATACTATTTCTACTACATGTACTACTGCTGCTACAACTAAGAAGAAGAAAAACAGAAAAAGGAAGAACGAGATGAGAAAGAAGAGGGGAAGGCGGCGGGAAAGCAAAATGTCATCAAAGTTACTACTAATTCCTTATTTACTACTCTCTACTAAAACAAAAAGGTTACACCATTAATCCGTTGTACTGAAGTGTCGTCGAAAATATTTTGTATGATTTCATATGAAATCACGATTTTTATATTTTGTAATACAAATATCTTGTAACTATGAATGTACTGATAATCATTTTTTTTTTATTTACGTGGCTGCATCCACGATAAACATACAGGGTGTACATGTATTTAGAAATACATAAATTTCGTATATTTTAGAGTGTTCCAGATACACAATATCTGTTTGTAAATGTATTTATAAATGCATTGAATCAAATTGTAAAATTTACAACGTAATAAATGACAGTGCAAAGAAGAATATATACGGTAGTCCATTTCGTTTATTCATTCGCGTTTCAATTCAGGTTGAAAAACAAAGTGGAGTTCTGGTCAAGGCGAAAAATAATTTGAGATCTTTCTCATTAAAAAAAGATGTATGATTGAAAGAAAGAAAGCCATGGTAATGAAATGAAAATGCCGGAAGTGTTTGGCCAGACCTTACATTTATGCGACGTGTGTCCCGAATTTTCCATTTCCATGGTGTGCAGTGCATGTGCCTTTCACCATCATTGATTTGGTGATTTTAAAATCGACACAGTACACACAAGTTCATTTTTTTTTTTTTTTATAAACAATTGGTTCCATATGGTTTATTAAATTATAAGAGTATTGCCCAGAATTCAACTCTATTCTATTTTCAGTTATAATTGCATTTTGTGATTTTTGTTTTCTTCCTTTGAACGTTATTTATTTATGAATTTTGTTAATAGTTTTTTGTAATAATTGGATGAAAAAAGGCTCGGAGTAATTGTCACCAGAGTAAATGTCAGATGGCCAAATTTTCATCGATAATAACAACATGATACATGTAACTAAATAATAAGAACTTAATATATCCATAATAATAACAACATGATAATTTAGTAATAATTATGATACGCTGTAATGAAAATAATAAGAACAATATTACTAATAATACATGTACTACTAATACCACTACTGCTTCTACTGCGTCTACTTCTACAAAGAACATTACATAATACAATTCAATGCGCATTACATATATTCGTTTATTTATTCATTCATAGCAACCAAAGGGTTGGATTGATAATACATACATTTCCAACATGATTAAGAACATTATTACATTGAGTACAATGAAATTGATAAATTATGAATATAAATACATGTAGATCATAAATACAAAGAACATTACAAATCATTCAGGTATATCATATTACAAATAAATAATTACAAGAAAAAAGGGAAACAACATGGACTTAAATAGACAGAAAAGGGAGCAAGAGAGGGGAAAAGAAAAGAAAGTAAAGAAGTGAAAAAGCTGCAATTATCAATCAAGTAAACTCTACATCCAAATATCAAAATAGATAATATAATTATAAAGAAAGTCAACGTATTGGTATAAACTGAATAGCTGCATGTACTGAATAATTATTCCAAATGATACTCTGAAGCAAAGATAATATATATATATATACTTAAAAACCAGCTACATGTGTCGGGGTACAAGTTCAAAAGAATATTGAATGGTTAAAAATGTGTATTGCACTAATTACCTGCTTATTGTAAATGATACGCACACCAAGGGATAAAACTATTCTTAAATCGGTTTGTTTTACACCTGGACAGACTCACTTGTTTACTTTTCCTAAGGTTATATCTTGTCTCTCGTTTTGGTGGAAGAAGGTCATTTAGTTTGTGTTTAGGTTTCTGTGTTTGGTTGAATAATTGCAAGCACATATTATTTCTACGATCAGCTAGGGAATCAATGTTCAGTACATTTAAAGCGTCAGTATAAGGTAGGTTGGGTTGATAATTCTCAGGGCACGTTTTTGTATTGATTCCAATAAATTAGATTGCTCTTTGGTTAGGCCCCCGTGAAAGAATTGACATGCATATTACAAAACAGACCTCATGCAAGCTTTGTAGTACCTGCCCAAATCGTCTTGAACAAGAGATACAATGATAATATATATTTTTATCGATACCATTCCTTCCAGGGCTTCATTGGTTCAACGATTGTTGCAAATTTGAATGCGCTCTCTGGCCATAGTATTTCTCCAGAATAAGGATTACAGTTTTAATAGAGATGAATTAGTGAGCGGGTTTTGATAACCACATTATATTAAAAAAACACTAATTTATGAACATGTATTGATTACAGAACAATCCATGTCATTCAATTCATTCATTTTGACTCAGTATTCTGGTCATTATGGTGTCTTTGACCACAATGACCATTTGCACGATTTTTATCAACAACAACAAAAACAAAATCAAAATCAAAATATGTGTGCTGCAAGATTTAATAGCTTTGCATAACGCGCCAGCCATTGGATTTGTTGATTTGTTTAATGGGGCGGGGCTCATTGAATTCATTATCCTACGTTGCGCTTATTGATATACAATAGAAAGAGATCAGTGTAATTGTCAAACCCCAAATTTAGAGCTATTTTTGTTACTTTCAAGGGATACAAAATCTGTATTTTTCAAGATAGAAACTCAAAAATTTGCATGAATAATCTCTGAAACATATTCTTAAAGACCCAACATATTTAAAGGTGTAGTTAATAGCAAATGAGTTTTATATCACAGTTATTAGATATGCTATAGTTCACAATAAAATTGTAAGAATTCATAGTATTCATATCTGGTGAATAAATAAGGAGATAGATTAAGCTCCAAAATGTGCATTTCTCATAAATATAAATAGTCCTGATACTAAAAATACACGTTTGAAGTTAGTAAACATAATTTCATTTTTGACCCTGTTATGGACACATTTGGTATAATTATGTTAAAAAAACCAGTGCCATATACAATAGAAAGAGATCAGTGTAATTGACGATACTCACGAGCTTTTGGTAATTTCCGCCACCTTTGGCACCCACAATGACCCCTCCTCTCCTCTCTCTTTGGTAGATTATTTTTCTTTCAATTTGCTTTTATTGTGTGTGTGCGTGTGGACAGATGTGTAACCCACAGAAACTCGCGTGCGCACACACACACAGACACAGAATACCCAAATGCCACCTAGCTGACACTTGCACGATTTATGCCTGACACTTGCGCAAACTATGCGCAAACTATGCGCGAACCAGAATCGTGCAAGTGTCAGGTACGACTTTGGACAAAGATCTATTGAAAATATAGCCTGATGGAGTACTGTCTCCTCATTTCTCCCTGTATAGTAAAGTAGGTGCCTCTTCTTTCCAATCACAACCAATTATAAGACGGGTACTGATCTACACAATGGTTCAGAATTATTGATGCATAACTCACCATTTCGATCAGACTGAGAACGAAGAATGACCTAATGACCAACCACGCTTGCGGTGCTGTTTCATATGGCTAATAGTCGATCTGCTAATCTACTAAAGTAATCATTTTGTCTCCCTCTTTTGAAAAAAAGTAGAAAAAGGTCAGCATTGAACCTGCACTGTGTACCTTTCCCCCCAAAAATAGCAAACTAGAGTATAGCCAATGTGAGAGCATTGGGTGCTTCAGAAAATACACGCAAAAAACATGTTTTTGCATAAAACGCCCCAGTCTTAATTTGGCGCAAAATGCATATTAGGCATCAATTGATCAGTTGATCATTGACCTTACATCTGCAGTTGTGCAACCCAACCACCTGCGCGCACACACATGCATATATAC